AGAGAGAGAGAGAGAGAGAGAGAGAGAGAGAGAGAGAGAGAGAGAGAGAGAGAGAGATTGAAATAGAAACAGGGAGATAATGAATATTAATAATTCTCAAGTATCTCAAGTATCTATTTTCCCTTTTCCTACTCTCCCACATGCCCCTCTCAGGACAAGCCCTGCATGCCTGAGTTGTCAAGCCTCTGCCTTGACAGTGCCTGCCACCTGGGACTTGGCTTCTCCTCCAGGTTAGAACCTAGTGGTCAAAAAAGGACATATTTTTATCTTCTACAGAACATATCTAAGCATCTACAGAGCATATCCAATTTTCCAAATCCACATCCAGGGCTGTGAATGTCTTACTTTGTGCGTTATTCCCTTGTCTGTAGACAAACTCTCACAGTACAAGGGGACAATGCATACCTAGGAGTTTAACTGTTGCTGAAGCCTAAGCAAATTTTTGGCATTTTAAGCAGATGAGGTTGGCAGTGTGTCCATGATGGAAGCAGGAGCGCAGTCAGAGGCCTGGGACCTGGGGATGCTTCAACCACAGCTTCCAGGCCCCCACCTGCTCACTGGCCAATGTGAGGAAATGTGTTTAGATTGCTCTGTGGACTTACTTTACTGAGACTATAACTAGGCAGTACCATCATTTGGATTTATAGATTTTTTTTTTTAGGAAAACATAGAAAATAAATGTTTGAGATAAGAGTGTCCTTGAAAGAACATGCATAACATGCCAATTTAACTTGTGCAAGAGCCAGGCATTTTAAAGTGGAAGGTTATATTTGTGCCCAAGAACATGGCTAGCCTATAAAAATATGGAATTTTGTTCATTTGTTTTTGTTTTGAGATAGGGTCCTACATAGTCTAAACTGGCCTCAAACTTTCTATGTAGCCAAAGATGACTCTGAACTCCTGGGTCCTTCTGCCTCCACCTCCCGAATGCTGAGATTACAGGTACATGCCAACACCTGGCTTACTCCGTGCTAGGCATTGAATCCAGGGCCAGCCCTAGTGTTAGGCTGGCACTCCACCTACTGAGCCACATTCCCAACCACATGTCTTTGCCTGTTCTAATGAGGTGGAAGCTCAAGTGCGTCCCCTTTGTTTAACATTACGAAAAAAACTCATTTCTAAGCCTAAGTCCAGCTAAGATTAAAAAGTAAAAATTCACAATGAGCTTCTGTGTATACTACCGAATTTTATAGTCACTTAACAGTTTACCATAAAAAGGGAAGAAGAAAAAAGCTGGAATCAGTTAGCATCCTAATACAATAAAAGATGAAGAAAATGTGACCACAGCTGTGATTTCATACTTTGAAGACTGAACGGTTAGGTTTTAAATGTTCAACAACCTGGAAATTTACTCAGTGGACCAGGCCATATTCTGAGTATGGATTAATGACCCAAAGTAAAACACCCCCAATTTCTCAAAGTTGAAATCTCTTCATTAAATTTTCAGAATATCATTTGAAGTTAAGTTCTATCTCTATGTCCATTTTATAGGTGAGAAAAACTGCCAGGGCCAAGTGTAAAATGAAGCCTTGCTCAAAGTCTAGTGATAGAGTGGTCTGGACTGGAAGCGGCATCCTCAACTGCTAGGCTACGCACATCTGTAATGGAAGCATAGCGATGATTCATTCTGTAACTGGAAGACATGCATCCTAGCTGACAGGAAAGTGCGGGTACAATAGAGTGACTTCCAAGAGACATTCTCCGAGTGAGGGGAACACACGTCACCTACCTCCAAGACTTGGAAGCGCTGGTAGATGTAATGTACCATAGCTGGGTCCTGGGCATGTTGTGGTGGGGGCAGAAATGCTGTGAGGAAGAGAATCAGTGAACAAGCTCTCCGAAGAGTCATCATCATCCTGTACACTCCCCAGTAGCAGAATTTCTTACACTTTGTTTCTCTAAAGAGACTTAAGGGTCCAGGTAGTGTGATCTCTGGTTTTCTGTCTGCCGCTGTGGCAATTCCTTGGAAAACAACGCTTTGCACAGCCAGAGAACAAAGTCCGCTTGTTATTCTACCCAGTGTATGATCTCAGTTTCAAGCTGGTGATCAAGTCCAGCTGTTGGCAAGTCAGTCCCTGGAGGCCTCGCTTGCTCATTTGGTGCAGAGAGCTCCCTGGGTCCAGCATCTGCTGCTTGGACATGCACAGACCCTTTCCAGGCAAGTGGCTGGCTGCATATTGCTTGTAGATCTAGAGCGTATGAAATGGGGTGGGGGTGGGAGGTCTTTCCGCCCTTCCCCTCCCCCAGCTTTTTTACTTTTGTTTTCCTCCTCCCTAATGGACTGTGCAGTCCAATCACAGGCCTAGCTCAACACAGGCCACCCCCTAGTTCTCAGTGTTGGAATTTCAGTTCAGTTTCTGGCAGAAATTCCAAGGATCCTTTTCCAAGAAGTTCTGTTAGGAGACCCCACCTCTCTTTCTAGACTTCCCTTGCATTCTTGTAGCTCTTAAAGGCGTAGCAAGGAAATGTGAACACTAATCTATACCATCTCACAAAAGCCAGTGTGCAGCGGAGGGGTACATTGATTGGGCCACAGGCCTGGCTACTCAGGCTGACAGCTGAGAATTGTCAGGATTGATCTTAAAAGAAATTGCTTTCTTTTTATTTTCAGATGTATATTAAAAATTCATGTGTATGTGTATACATATGAGTGTGGGGCCCACAATGACCCATAGAAGGTACTATCAGAGATTCCCTGGAGCCGGAGTTACAATCTCTCTATGTGGCTGCTGGGAATTGAACTCCAATACTCTGCAAGAGCAGCAAGTGCTCTTAATGGCTGAGCTATCTCCTCAGCCTTGGAAGAAATTTCATAGGAGGAGAATGATTGACACAGTGGTACTTGCAGCATTGAGCCATCAGGAAATGAAATTCATTGTGAGGAAGTCTTAGAGTTTCCTCAGAATTACCTTTAGCAGCAGGCTAGAAGTCCAGCTGAAGATAAATCACACTGCGAGAGCAAAGACATAAAACCTTCCAATTTTATTTTTCCTGTTCTGCTGCTGTCTGTCTATCTTGACCTCTCTTTCCATAGGCAGACCTAGGACCCTACCTCCATGTTTTTTTTTTTATTTTTTTTTTATTTTTTATTTTTTTTATGAATCTCTTTCAAAAATATGGAAAGTTGGAGCATCTGTAAAGTATGGAAAGGCCCCTGGCCAGGAGTCAGAAGACCTGATTTTGCATTTGGTCCATACACGAGAAGCTAAAATTGAAAATCTGAGAATTGTCCATTGGTAACTCTTGAATCTCCTTGTTCCTAAGTGATGTTCCTCTCCAGTCTTCTTTGACATGATTGTCATCCTAACTGGTTCTCCCCTACATCCTTGGTAAAATCATAAGCAGTAGTTCCTTATTCTTGAGAATAATTGCTCCTGTTTCTGAGAATCATCTTTGAACTCCTCCCCAAACTAGCTGAACTTTAGCTGACTTCTCTTAAATCCTTATTAAAAACAAAAACAAAATACAACTGCCCTCTAAATCTGTGTCTTTGTACCCTTAGATTAGTACAGCTCCTAGACAGCATCAGAGAATTTTTGTTTTGTTTTGTGGATGGTGGTTGACACAGAAACTGACAACAGATCAAACTACCAAAAATAAGTGACTGTGGCATACTCAGTTACTAATGGGACATTTACATCATAGATCCCCAAGGCTCAGTACCATCAGGAAAGAGGGGACAGAAGGAGTGTAAATGCCAGAGGTTGGAGTATCTTTTGGACATGATAGGACCTCTGCATCTATTGACTCACAGAAGGTATGGTTTCCTACAAAAGATCAAGCCAGACAACTCTCCAAATGGAGTAGGGAGGAGTTCATGAGCCCCCACCCCTGAGGAGCTAAGGACAGATGATGACTTCTGGGGAAAGGAGAGTCAGTTTTCTTTAAGGGTGTGGTTCCTGGTCAGTTGACCATGTTCCAATGGACGGCCCTAGACCCAGAGCTATATGGACAGCACATATTGAAGTTGATGGGTTATTTTAAAAAGGTCTGAAAGGCTGAGGAAACAGTTTAGCAGTAAGTATTTGCCAAGCAAGCCCACAGCCCTGGGTTCCATCTCCAGCGTCTAAAAAAAAAAGTCTGCCTGACATAATCTTTCCAAAGTGAGAATGCTCTCTCCAAAGCTGCTGCTGCTGCTGCTGCTGCTGCTGCTCCTCCTCCTCCTCCTCCTCTGTCCAGGACCACCACTGTTCAGCTCCAAAGCTCCTTGTACAAGGCATTTTTAAATAAAATGCCCCATACTGTGCTGATTTTCTTTCACTAATGCCTCAAGCTGTATCCCTGGGGTTGTGAGGTAAGGATGCAAAAGGATCAGTGAGGAAGACCTTGAGTGTATCACAATTAACACTGGTGGTGTGACTGTGCACAGCCTTCCCCTGGCTTTCCTATACCATGCTTACATTTTGTATTTTTTTAAAACAAGAAAACACACATATAGTGAAGGCTAAAGAACCTCCAGGCAATCAGTGAAGAGGTATCCCCTTGCTTAGCTCTCAGGAATTTCCAAATCCTCAGGCTGCTTCTTGCTTACTGCTACTCCCAGGGTTTTTTTTTTTTTTTTCTTTCTTTTTTTTTTTGGGGGGGGGGGAGTTGACTCCAAAGAGCCTGGCTCTGCCTTGGCAGGGACTCGCATTTCTTTTTGCGAGTGACTCAGGCCCCTGCTCTCTCTGAAGTCATCAGCATCACATGGAAAAGTCTGACTTCTGACTAAAATAGCTGTTCAAATACCAAATGGAGGCAACAAATCTTTTTTTTTTTTTTTTTTTTTTTTTTTGGTTTTTCGAGACAGTGTTTCTCCGTGTAGCTTTGCGCCTTTTCCTGGATCTTGCTCTGTAGACCAGGCTGGCCTTAAACTCACAGAGATCCACCTGCCTCTGCCTCCCAAGTGCTGGGATTACAGGCGTGCGTCGCCGCCGCCGCCGCCGCCGCCGCCGCCACCACCACCACCGCCCGGCTGGAGGCAACAAATCTTAAACATCAGAATGGATGAGCTGGGGGACAGATTCATGTTCTTGTGACTAGAGGGTTCATAAAGAAAAGATAAGCTTAGCTTGGAGACAATCCCTACTTTGACTGACACCCATTGGCCTGCCGTGTCTACTTTTGCTCACAGCAATCCTACTTAGTGGCTGCTGTGTTCATGAGGCTGTAAGACAGCCTGCTGGACCTTAGCCTACAGCAGGCATAAAGTCATTCACCTTACTCTGTGTAGTGTTTCCTTCACAATTAACGTCTGGCCTTGACCCTAAATTTATGAATGAGGATAGTGACCAAGTATTGTGACCCACCTTGTTCCTCTACAAGCATCAAGCTCTTCTGCTTCCTGGTAGGAAGCTCTCCAGCTCTTAGAGACTCACTGCTGTTTACTCAGTGTGGGTAGTCCTGGATCTGAAAGCCCAGTTAGCCACCTTCGTTGTTGGTGACTCCTTTTGTTACATTTTCTTCATGTTAACTAACCACTCACTTGACTTCCAGGGCCTTCTTGGCTCCCAGCATCTTCCACTGTGCTGAGAGATGTTGGGCAACTCTGAGAAAGTCTGTAAGGAGGAGAATCTACCTTATCAAAGAGGAAGAACCCAGCTCAACAGAATCTCCCTAGGAGAGAGATTCCTGATTCAGGAGCGAGTGGTGAAGTTTTCTGCTTTCTCTTCTCTCCCTTTTGATTCCTTTCTCTTTTCCCCAGCCTTATCCCTTTATCCACTACTCCCCACTCCAGCTACCCTCCCCCACCTAATAGCTATTGCCTTAATGTCTTGCTCAAATCTTTCAACCTCTTACAAGTAATTGCCTTGTTTCCTGCATGAGTGATTGCAGTGGCCTCTAATTCCCTGTGTTCATCTCTAGATGAAGCATTGAGTGATTTATGGCAAAATGAAAGAAGCTCTTTACAACATGACCTTAGCCAACCTTGCTTACTTCAACTTCTACCACTGCCCACATTCATCCTCCACAAGAGCCATGTCTGATTGTCTCCAAACTCCAAACATTTGATGATGTGGTGGTTTCTATGCTTGTGTTGGGGGTTGCGGGGAGGTACAACCTAGAATATTTTCTCCTATTGTAACTACAAGTTCTTGCTCATCTTTCTTCAGGTCTTCCTACCACCTGACTGCCACCCAGGCAGGATAGTCCCCTCTTCATCTGTTCTAGAACACTGAGAATTCTGACTTCTGGGAATTTGAAGGAAAGGTTCTTCTGCACATGGGTGCTCTGGTGGAGAGGCATGGGTGGGTAGCCTCTGGGGCAGTGGGTGTAGAAAGAGGAAAGGATGTACCATTTTTATGAGCTGAACTGTATCCCTAGATTCCTGTTTGCATCCTAGTCCGTGTGGTCTCGGAATATAACTATATTTAGAGACAGAGGTGTTATATTTGGAGACAAAGGTGGTTAAATGAGAGCCAGTTCCTGAGGTCGACCCTAAACCTGTCTAACTGATGTCACTACAGAAAGAGCAAATTTAGACATAGGTACAGATACAGATAAAAGACTGTGTGTGGGAACAGTGAGAACATCTGCAAGCCGAGGAATGTGGCCTGAGAGAACCAAAGATATGGACACTTTGATCTTAACCTTCCAGCCTCTGGAACTGAGAGAAACTAAACATCTATCATCTAAGTTGCCTGGTCTGTGGTATTTTGTTCTAGAAACCCACAACAACTAAAGTAAGCACTGATTTATAAAATACATTGAGAGTCTAATAATGGAGTACAAGGTGTTATTGGTCAGAAGTGAATTGACAAGGGACTTCCTGGGTGACATGCTGTTGAGCGCCAACTCCAGCCATCCCACTGGACATTTGTGCTTGGATATGGGCCAAATACCACATGTGTGGCCTGTTTTCAATGATCTTTTTCATCAAACTTCCTTTGGAACCATTTCTTTAAGCTAACAGTGTCATATTTTATCTCTGACAAATGCAGAAATGGAGGTATAATTCTGGATTATATCTATTTAGTCAGTCACCAAAAAATAAACTTGCCACATGTATATATATATATATATTCCTTTCTTTTTTATCCTGCTAATTCCTCACTTAATGGCATTTCCTACTATTTCATTTGTTTAGCAAATGTTTTTTTGCTACTTATTTGTGTTCCAGGTATTCGACTATACTCTAGGGATACAATGACAGACACAGTAGACAAATTCCCTGTCCTAATAGGTGAGTCAATCATATGGGTTCATAAGTATAGTGTACCATAATTGTTATAATTACATGGTTATAAGGACAACACTAATTGCCTCGACAGCACCAAGGAGGGCTCAGTGAATCTGGGGTGACTTCTCAAAGGAAGAAAATCTTAATTAAGACCCAAAGGATACATAGACATGAATTCTACAAAGTGGATAATGAGAAGGAGAAGTAGAAAATGTTCCTAAAGTAGAAGCAGCATTTCATGCAAAGAACAATGACCTAGGGAGGGCTTAGCAGACTTGGGGAACTAATGTAAAGGATGTATGATGGCATTTCTATGGGGATAGGAGAATGCTATACTTTAGAATTCCCAGGAAATAGACTCTGAGGCCAATTCACATACAAGATGTCTCTGAGGGTGTGCTTTTTGGAACAATCCTATGAGGGAGGAAGGGAAGAAGACCAGGCAGAGAGGGGAGTTGAGTTGCACTACCATTGTAACACAAATCCCAACTGAGTCCACAAGGAGGTTGGAGTCTGGGTGGGCTATTTTAGTTATGTGTCTCGTTGTTGTGGAGAAAATGCCCTACAAAAGCATCTTAAGGAAAGAAGGGTTTATTTTGATTCAGTTTGACTTACAGGGAAGTGAGGATGGTGGGAGCATGACGTAGCTGGTCACGTTGCATCAGCAGTCAGGAGACAAAGAGATGAATGCTGGTGCTCAGTTGCTTTCTCCTTTTTATTTAGTTCAGAAACCCATCCGGTTCAGGGTGACTCTTTCCTCTTCACTTAAACCTTTCTGAAAACATCCTCCTAGACACACCCAGAAGCATGTCTCCATGGCGATTCTGAACCTAACCAAGTTGACAGTGTAGATTAACCATCACAGAACCCATTAGGTATGCCCTAAACTGAGGCAAGGGGTCCCTGCCCTGACACTCCAACATCAATCAATTCCTTGATGAGGTAGCTTCCTTAGCTTCAGAACAATTCCCACAGAATGCCTCAGCTGGGAGCTGGGAGTGGTTAACACTCAAAGAGCTGCAGAGATGAGCATCTTTGTCTTCAATAGTAAATTTAGGCACTGCATTGATTACTCCTTCAGCATCATAAGGAGAACCCAGACATTGCCAAGTGTGTAGGACAGGATGGGCATTGTAGGAGTCATCATAAGAGCAATAAGAGAACCATAGAAGCCGGGCGGTGGTGGCGCACGCCTTTAATCCCAGCACTCGGGAGGCAGAGGCAGGCGGATCTCTTTGAGTTCGAGGCCAGCCTGGGCTACCAAGTGAGTTCCAGAAAAGGCACAAAGCTACACAGAGAAACCCTGTCTCGAAAAACAAAAAACAAAAAACAAAAAAAAAAAAAGAGAGAGAGAGAGAGAACCATAGAATTTGAAATGAGTAACCTAAGTAGACCTGTGTTTTAAGGAGACCCCCTCTTTGGAGGCCAGGCAATAGTTAGATTGGACAGATACAAGACTAAATTCAAGACACAAGATGTATTCTAAGATTGTTACAGAGATTTGTGGGAGAATATGAGAGCTAGGATAGTGTCAGTGCAGAAATTTCTAAATGGATGTCTTTCATATATAGGATGTAGAACTGACAGAACTTAGTTACTGATTGGGTGAATGAGTGACATGGTGAAGAAGGAGTCTAGCTGATGGTCAACCTCCATTCTGACCCCTTCTGTCTATTGTTTACACTGTAGCCATGGTGATGAGCTAATGTGCCAACTTACTATGAATTTTCCTGCTTAGGAGCCCCGATAGTCTGCCAGTTCTTTCCCAATAAAGTCAACATTCCTCAGACTCAGTAAAATCTTTGCAAGTAAACTGTATCTTAGCTGAGATTTACAGGAGTAACTAACTGGTCATAAAAGGGAAAGGGAATATTTATGAGATATACATCCCAGTGGAGGGGGACCCACATATGCGGTTCCACTTAATGCAGCTTTGGCAAGAAAGCTTCCCTCTTAGAATTGGGTACTCTTTGCAGATCCAGTCTCTGCAACACTGCCCTATCCTTATCACATGTCTCCCACTCAGTCTTGGAGCCTTGTTTGAGCACCACACCCTCGCCTTCCTTTATGGTCTGGGCTAAGATTTGCTGCTGGAACTGACTCTTCTTGTAAGTTACAATTTCTTAAACTTTGGGCCACACGACCCAGTAAGACTCATATTACGAGATATGGGGGTGGTGAAAACTTGGGCAGAGGTAGAAAGTTTGGAGTACTCAGACTCATGTGAGCTGTCTTACCATGCATGTCCACCAGTGCTGCCTGAGACATCTCTGCTCAGACTTGACACTGTTGTGTGCCAGCACTTCCATCTTTTATTCTATATGTTAAGATTTCTGCTCTCATGAAACATAATGGTTTCATTAGAGAAAAGACTACTAACTGAAAGTGGAAATGTTTATATGGAATGGAGGTGGGGGCTAGGAAAACAACAGGTACGGGAAAGGTTAATAAAAATGAAGACTGTGAAAAAGCCTGCTGAGTGGTGGTGGCACACGCTTTTAATCCCAGCACTTGGGAGGTAGAGCCAGGCAGATTTCTGTGAGTTTGATGCCAGCCTGGGCTACAGAGCAAGATCCCGGACAGTCACCAAAACTACACAGAGAAACCCTGTCAAAAAAAAAAAAAAAAGGAAAAAGAAAAAGCCTGTGGAAATCTGATATTTTTTGGTAACGTAGTTAAAAACATAATTAAGAAGTTTGAATAAAGATACCTTTTATGAGTGGGAAATGCTGCTCCCAGAAGCCACAGGTTATTAAATGAAAATCCCAGTGCTAGATGTGAGATACCTACTTATGAGTTGTTGCTTAGGGAGGCCTCAAAGACCCTAAATAACACATGGTATTGCCATTGTTCTTGGCTGTCCACCAGAAGGAGATGGTAAGACTCTGTTGATAAAGAGACTATCTTTGGTGGCAGAATATAGAGAATCAAATTGAAACTGAGATGGAAGCCTTGTTTCTGATGTCTAGATTTCAGAGTATAGGAAGATGCTATTCAGGCTGCTGGAAGAGCACAAATCAACAACCACCTTACCGAGCTGTGAACTCTGTGGACTACAGTACCAACCTGAGAGGCAAGACGTGCCCACTGGAGCAATACTGGCATGACTGTTAATGTGGGTAACTAACTATTTTTATTTCTATTTGAGGCTTGCTCCACAGGAAGAGATTCGTGCCTGGCACTGTAAACCTGGTCAAAAGGACATCATTCAAAAGATAATGGGAGGGGAAAATCTACTAGCATTGTTTTGCTAAATAGACACAGGGCCAAAGTGCCTTCTAAATAATCTATGTTTATACCCAAGATTAGTGCTGTTCTCAGTCTTTACCAGGGAAGTTTGTGTAGTGGATGATGGGTAATGTAGAGCCTCAAAACTGGTCAAAGAAGTGAGAATAAGTGACCATTGAATGCTCTGCCCTGCATGAGACAACTGTATCTATCACCTTCTTGGAACCTCAAAAGGAATTTTGTGGAGAAGAGGCAGAAAGAATGTGAGAGCTGGAGTATGCAGAGGGGTTCTGTCAACACAGTCTCCTGGACATAATATGATTATTGCACTCATGAACTCACAGTAGCTGTGGTTACCTGCACATCTGTCTATGGCTGCTGGGGAATGAATGAGACCGGCTCCACAAATAAATAAATTTTTGGGAGACTGGAGGCATTTTTCCCCCACTGGAACATACCAAAACATTTTTAAGCTTCTGTATTTTAATAAAATTCCTCCTAAGCATATTTCTGACTTATTTACTTTTTAAAAGCCATTATTGATTTCATTTTAAAAATTATTATTGTTACTGTGTTATTAGTATTGAGGAGCACACACCATAGTCCATTGTGGAGGTCAGAAGACAGCTTGTAGGGTCAGTCTCTCCTGCTTCCTTTACATGGGATCTGGGGATTGACTCAGGTCCTCAGGCTTGCTTGTCAAGTGCTTTACCTGATGAGTCCTCTCATTGGCACATTTGTTGTTTTCTTTATTTTTTATTGTGTCTTACCTATATTGGTGTTTTGATGGCTTGTTGGTCTGTGGACCACATGTGTGTAGTGCCCAAAGAGGCCAGAAGAGGGCATTGGACCCCTGGGATGGAAGTTATATAGATGGTTGTGAGCTGCCTTGTGGATTTTGAGAATTGAAACTGGGTCCTCTGGAAGAGCAAACTGTGCTCTTAACTGCTGAGCCACATCTCCAGCCTTACCACTTATTGTTTCTTAATGACATAAAATCTCTGAATATTTGCTACTGTACAGGGCTCTTTCAGAAATGGTTAAGGTGTGTAGAACAATTTGCAAGGGTGCTTACTGGGTGAGGACTGCCAGGGAATTTTAGTTTCTGGATCTGTCTTTCATATGTTCTCTGACATTCTGCCTACCTTGTCTTCATCCAATTCTTTGAAATGAAATGATCCAATGCTGGGCTCATTCCCTCCTAGCATGTAAAATAGCCCTATTTGGGATTAGGTTGAGACATAGCTTCAGAAATTGTTAGGGACTGTGTACTCCTTTTCTTACTCAACTGCTCTATTCCTTCCTTTTCCTGGACCACACCTTGATTTGGTGACTGGTCCCTGTAACAGGATTTACAGTAGGATTTGGGCTGATTGTCATGAGGGCCGCCCCAGAAAGGATGCCAAAGACCCATGGGGCCCACCCACACAGGTGGACGCTCACCTCTGCTCTCTCCTGAAATCACACTCTGTTTTGAATTCTGTGTCAGCATTTCTTCATGCTCTACCAGGCTGCAGCACACAGTTGTCCCCAAGGAAAGAATGAAATTTTGACAGAGAAGGACTTTGCAGGGTTTAAGTTTTCCTTGTTGCCTCTGAAGATATACAGAATTCCTTCCCCAAATATTGGGTACATTTTAGGTCCTGTTACACTTCAAGGGGAAAACATCCTCCCTGCCACCTCTCTGCCACCCTGGAGAGACAGGAAAAGACCACTTGAGCTGATGGCCTTGGTGATAGCTGTGCAGAGAGGCCCTTTTCAGGAAGAATCAACGTTCACACTCCAGCCTTCTTCAGGTCAGTGTGGCAGATATCCTAAGAAGCTTTGTTGACTTAGAATACTAAATTAATTCTTTAAAACGTTTCACAAGGCTGGGAAGGTGGCTTGGTCAGTGAAGTGTTTGCCATGCAGACATGAAGACCTGAGCTCAATCCTTAGACCCCACAACTTCAAACCCCTGCTTCTACTTCCCCAGTGCTGAGATTGCAGGCGACTCCTCTACCACACCAACCTAAGTACAACAGCATCCATAATCCGCTACACCCATCTTTTCAAATCTTTGCCAGGTATACCTTTATTAGCTCTGTCTGCAAAGTCCTTGTGCTGTGAGTCACCAATTGTCTTCACTTTGCTGCAGCAAATACTGTAGACTCTTAAATAATACGCATGTATTTCTCATGGTTCTCGAAGCTGGGAGGTTGAGATTAAGGTGCTGTTGGATTCAGTGACTCATCAGGGCTCATGTTATGGTTCATAGACAGTTGACTCTTGGTGCACCCTCATGTGGTGGGCAGCATGCTTTGTCTACTCTTCCTATTTTATGGACATTTTTTATAGACAAGGTCTATTATGTATACCAGACTGGTCTTGAACTCACAGAGGTCAGACTGCCTCGGCCTCCTGAAGGCTAGCTTTAAAGGTGTGTGCCGCCATAATAGGCTCTCTTCCTGTTTTATAAAGATGTGAAATCTACTCATGGTAGCCCTACCTAATTAACCCTCAAAATGCCCAAGTGCCATCACATTGGGAGCTGAGGATAAAACATAAGAATTCAATGGAACATAAACATTTAGTTCATGGCATCAACCTCCATTTATCAGCAACATTGTGAATAGAAATGAGGGAAACTCTCCAAGATGATCTTGGCATACATTTAAAAAAAATTATGTGTGTAGGCACTTGCACACTTGCACGCACGCACAAGTGTGTGTGTGTGTGTGTGTGTGTGTGTGTGTGTGTGTGTTTGTCATGGTGTGCATCTGGAGATCACAGGACAATTGTCCTGTGGAGTTAATTTTATGCTAGCTTGTGTAGTTCTCTTCTGCTCACACGTATGTGAATTCCAGGAATTAAACTCAGGCTGCCAGGCTTACATGGTAAACACCTTTACCTGCTGAGCCATCTCACTGGACCTTCAGCTACCTCTTTTAACCCTATTCTTTTCCTCTGGCTGAATCTGTTCAGAACAGCCTTTCAATTCTGGATATTTAACCCCAGCATTGACTCATGTTTTACTGGAAATGCTTTCTGCCCAGTACTTTCTGATGCCCAGCAGTGGTGCTGTTTCTTCTCTGTCAAGCAAAGAGCCCAGTTCTGCTTCGCTCCAGCCCCCAGAATGAGGCAGCTGCCTACCCAGCATTCACGTGGTAGAACAGCCTCCCTGTGTTCTTTGAAATTAAGACCGTGTACACCAGAGTTCCTAGAACTCTCACACCTCGTCATGATCTTTCTGCTTTGGCTTTTGAAAACCACCTGTGCAGTTAGTTTCCTGTTAGCTGGTTCTCTCTGGAGGCTGAGTCCTGTCCTACCTGGCATTAGTCAAATGCTGGGTACACCAGGTGTGTCTGGCTGAGCTTCAGAGTACACGCTGAGTCTGTTCCTTTAGCACCCCAACACCACCACTCTGCCAAGAGCTTCTGAAATCTTTCAGATTAGCATAGAGCTCGGGTATCTTGAGAATAGATGGAGATTGCAGGGGAGGGGGCGGATCAAGGAGAACCACTGACCTTAGGATGTGGATTAGTAACTTTCAAAAGCATGGTGTTTTGTGTCTTGATGATTACCTGAATGGGGCTTCTTTGTAGGTAAAGCTCAAGGTGGAAATGGCTCTTACACAGCCTGTGTCTACCAGGTAGGACTTACTCTTGGTCTCTGCTGCGCAGGTTCCCAACTGAGGTCTCTGGGGTTCTATGAATTTTCTATGAACACACGGGATTCCCTGGGTGTTAAAGCTGAAGTTGGCTTTCCTGATTCTCTCAGAGTGCTTCTCTGGGTAGTGTTAGTGTTCCCTGCCTAAAGACTGAGTCAAATTTTGTGTGAACTATTTGGAGCCTTCCACCACTAGAGAGCAGACTCTTTTCAGGTAGTCATTTGACTTTTTAGACTGAATGAGAAGACATTCTATCTAGAAAACATATACTTGGCCATGATGGCTCCTGCCTGTGTCCTCTGTGTTTGTGAGCCTTGGCAGTGTCCTCCAGAGGGAGCCCCAAAGAAGACCTGTGGGCTCTACCCAGACAGGTAGATGCTCAATCCACTCTCTTGGAAACATCCCTTGGCTCTGTCTACCCACTCTTCCACAAACCTTCTCTCTTCTCCTCCAGTCTGACTGATCTTGACTGAACCGAGCTTTGAGTTTTCGTTTTTAAAATACTGGCTGAGGTAGGAGGAGGATGGTTCTTGGAGTTGACAGAACATCAGGCCCCTGACATGTACATCTCAATCCAATGTACACAGAAATGGATACTGTGGCCTTGTGGGAGCTGTGCGATTTGCGGAAGTTTGTGTTTTGACATTGCCAGGCATCTCTGCCTTGATGCTATCAGTAACATAGATGGTGAGCTGTGGACAAATCACAGCTTCCTGGAATGAAGATTTCTATCAGAGCCTTAGGTGAGGGATTACAGGCTGGTGCTTAAATAAGTAGTCCAGGAAAGAGTGCTCAGTGCCCTCCCTTCTCCTTACCCTTGGCTATGCCATCCGCAGAGACACAATCACTCCTTTTCATCTCTATCTAGAGACACCCCTCCCTGAGAGCCCTCCTTGTGGCTCAGCTTCCCCTTTCCTTCCTTTTGGCATACTTGTTGGACTAGGACAAGCCCTCTTTAGAGTGGTTATAGGGAGCACATGTTTGAGCATTTAACTCAAGATGGAGTATATAAATCCTAGTTTTATGGTCTGCAGTACTCTTCAGTGGTTATTATAGAGGCTTTTTGGACACTCAAAATCAAATTCCTTTCAGATTACTTGTTAAAAATGAAAAGCCATTGAAAAGGGGACAGAAAAAGAAAAAAGAAAATGAAGGAATACAGTAGAGAGGCAGTTGATATCCTTTGACGATCTGGACCCTCCCTCCCCTTGCAGAGACAGACTGAATGGGGAGTTCTGGACCATATATGTCTAAGGCTGCACAGCTTTGCCCCAACTCCATGCCTTTCCCATTGTTGAGCACAAGAAGCCCCCAGATGCAGAGACACAAACTTTAAAGGTGGAAGAGCACAGAGCACACTGTGTTAACCATTTCTCATGGGAGAAGAAACAGATTTTCCCAGAGAAGGCCTAGGAATCAGAGGCAAAAGAGAATTCTAGACCCAGATTCTACCTGTAGCTGTTTTCCATCCACAGCACATAAGGTGTGTCCTGGTCCTTGTTCAGTGCTCCTTGCAAACATTACACATGAATGGCAGCCTTTCAGATGAAATGACAGCTCTATAAACAGACACATTGATGCTGGAGTCTCTGACATCCCTTAAAAATCACCTATCATGGCCTCGAAGAGGTGAGATCAACTAAGAGGTACCTATTCTAGCTGCAACCAGATTAAGAAGGCATTACGTAGAATCTCATCTAAAATGAGAAGTGGAGGCTGTCGTGGCTGCAGGTGGTAAGTATTTAGGGGACTAGAAGTTTCCTGAGCAGACTGCCTACCTGTGCTAAGTTGGCAGGCACATTCATAGGCCCTCAACTTATTTATACAATTGCCATGA